CAGCTGATAAAAACATCACAATAATCCACAAGTAATCCACAGCACTCCAGTCCATCAGTTCACATCTGGAGAAGACAAAAGCTGCATGTTTGTACAGAAAAACATTTGAACTTCAAACCGTTGCTAAAATATCTATCCACTATCCATAATGTTTCCTCCAGTGAAAAAGTTGTGAATCAAGAGAGAAATCTGCACAGATCGTTTACAGTTTACAGTCCAAAACAGAGCAACAGTGTAAAAGCGTCTTGATGGATTTGTTTGTTACAAACACAGTTTTTGGTTTCAAAAAATGTTAATTGATGGACTGGAATCATGTGGATTACTTCAGCTGTTTGGACTCTCATTCTGACGGCACCCATTCACTACAGAGCATCCATTGCTGAGACAGTGATGCAATGCTACATTTCTCCAAATTTCTTTATCTAATTATAATGATGTAATGTTTAACATCACATATTAAAAATCATTTAAAACCATGTGTATTTGAATGCTACATTGACCTGGATAATTAAAACCCTTCACAGGCGGTGTTCTGTTCACCCACAATGCAAGAGAGAGCGCAGGTCTATGAGAGAGAGAACCTGGATAATTAAAACCCTTCACAGACAGTGCTCTGTTCATCCACAATGCAAGAGAGAGCGCAGGTCCTCGAGAAAGAGAGAGAGAGAGAGAGAGAGAGAGAGAGACAGACACAGACAGTCAGGTCATGTTAGCAGGAGTGAAGGTTGAAGACTGTGTGCGTCTCTCTCTCCCTCCGATGCCTTCCGGATATTTCTCTTCTCTCTTTTCGTCCTTCACTCTTCTCCCAGCATCCCTCTTTCCGCTCCTGAGTCTGACCCACTTTCCCCCTTCTGCCTGTTTTTATTCACATATCAACACAGGAACAGCCTTGTGTCTGTCTGAGTGCATATACAGTGGGTACGGAAAGTATAATGGCTGCAATATAACAAAGAGTGAAAAATTTAAGGGGGTCTGAATACTTTCCGTACCCACTGTAAATAAACTAACACAGCGCCATTTATTTGTTAAAAATTTTTTTTAACATACTGAAAAAACACTATTTAACATTTATTTTGCATGGATGCAATAACAGTCTAAGCAAGTGGATTCAAATTTAAGCATTAGAGATAGTGTAATTTCTGTGCCACTAACATCAGCAATCAGAATTGCAAAAATAACTGTTTTCAAACAGGTTTCCATGTGCAATTGTTCAAGAACAGATAGTCCTGCCTAATTCATGCTCTTTGTGCTGTGTATTTGCAGGACCTGTTTGGAAACCTCTCTGGAAACTCTATTATTTTAGTACTTGAGTTTGGTAACAGTGGCGCAGAAATCACAAACTTCGTCATTTATAAATTGGAATGTGATATTTCAACAAGGACAAAAATGTAGCACAATATTTAATTTTATCCTGGGGGTTTAAAGTTGAGATTCTTGACATTTTCATTAAAAATTATGTTCCAAAAAAAAAAAAAAAAAAAAGTAAACATATACATGGATGAATTGTCCAAAAAAAGACAAGATCCTATAATATGCATTTTGAAAATAGGTTGAATTTTAATTTCATGCCAACTGTAAAAATAAGAAGGAATGCAAATCTAATTATATAATTATAATCTGATTGTATATATAGTGTGTGTGTATATATATATATATATATATATATATATATTAATGAATCAAGCTGAAGACCAAGACTAAATTTACTATTCAGTACTTGCAATTAAATCTTACAGCTCATTAATTATATAATCAGATTTGCTCAAATTATTCACATTTAGCAATATTCACATACACAATCCTACATTGCTGTTTATTAGTTGTGTTACCTGTGTGTGGCATTTACTGGAGAAACGCCTCCATTGTAGATCTAATGGAGATCTTCATGCTGGCAGTCTGTGTCTGTGCAGCGCAGTGAGACAAATTGTGCAATTCAGCGTTGTAATTATTTCTGTGTGTGTTAATGTCTGTAATGCCACATGACTGAACAATAAAACACCCACATTACAGCAGCTCTGAGGTCACGCCACCGCGACCTCCACGCTCACCTGTGACCCCTGAGCGATCTGTGATAGTGCTGTTTAACACCCTCATTAAACATCAACTCATCTGCTGTTACAGACCGCGTCCTGCTGTCCTTCTGACCCCAACACAACAGCTGCTCTCCTGGTGCAATTACATAAAATACAAAGCATGCCTATAACTGTTCCAGCAGAATCACCTTTATATAGCCGTCTTTTTTTAAAGCTAAAAACTATGGAAGCTTGTTTCCTCCCACTGTAAAAAAAATTATTTTTAAATAATGACTTTTTTTTTCTCACAATTCTGAGATTCTATCTCACAATGACTAGTTGTTTTTCTATAAACTCAGGGTTGAGAGATGTTAACTTAATCCTGAGAAAAAGTCAAAATTGTCCAAAAGAAAAAGTGTCAGAATTGTGAAGTAAAAAGTCACAATTACTTTAATTTTTGAATTGAATTTTTTTTTACGGAATTATGAGGACAAAAAGTCAGAACTGCAAAATGTAAACTCAGAATTGCAAGAAAAAAGTCTAAATTCTGAGTTCATATCTTGCAATTCTGAATTTTTTTCTCTGAACTCTATTATATTTTTGTGGCGTTTTGCTTTCTGTGCAATGCAAATTTTATTTCTAGCAAGTATTTTGAAGTAACTTTGTGAATTTATTTCATTTGCAACAGCAGCACAACCTATAATACAGCTATAAATAAAAAAAATATTTATTTCTTTCACTAAATTAATGGTAGGGCGTAAACGTCGCCCCACAGATGATCGGTGCTCAACAGGGTGAATTTAAGGTCAGGTTTACAGGAATGAGCGAGCAAGACATCATCTAAACATCAGATTATAAAGCCAGAGCACACAAACACAAGCAGCTGGAGGTCTTGTAATATTTTATTCTGAGTTTAATTGCTCAGGCAAACATGATTTACAACACTGGACAAGAGCAGGTAAAACTGGACTGAACTTTACACATGACAATAGAAGACACACACGATTCATAAAAAATTAGATTAAGGAGGAAACCCAAAATTTACTGGGTTGATATTTAATAAAAAAAAAAAAAAAAACATTTACCTACATTTGAAAAAACGAAAAGGGTCCCACAAAAATCTTCAGACCAGATAAAACATACCTGTTTAAGATTTTACAATGTTCTAGACATTTTACTACACATGACAAGCGCTCAAAAATAAAAATTCAGGCATGAAAAAGTCTTTATAGAGTTCAGAAAGCACACTGTCTCTGAGTGTCTAGCTGTCGGTCTTAGTGCAGTCAAATGCTTTCCACCACTGAGCGAACTTCAGAACCTTCTTACGCTGGTCGTCGAAATTCTCACGTATCGGTTTCCGCCATCGTCTCGGTTCCAGGTCCAGCATCCCGCCCAGGATTTCCTGATGGAGACAGAACAAATCTTAGGGCTGCATGATTTGGGAAAGAAAATCTAACTGCAATTATTCCCATAAAAAAATTGCTATTTAAAGTGTGATGTAAAAAAAATAATCTCGTTTTGCTGTGCTTGTTTGTGGGGCTGCACAGTAAGACTATTGTCAGACTTACTTTGCCGAAATAGTGTGGGAACTTCCGCTCATTCTCAATGACGTGCGCAAAGCCGCCCTGCAACCCGAAATCCACAGAGAAGTACGGCAACCCGCGCGGAACCTGCGAAAACACGAGCAACGTCAAACACTGAGAGAGAGGCGGAAGAATAAAAGACGTCAGGAGAAAACAGGAAGAAATACTCACAGCTTGTCTGATGTCTTTGGATGAGAGATCCACAACTTTCTTATTCATGGCCCATTCCTCATCCGACTCCATTATGGCTTTCTAAACATGCGCGCACACACACACACACACACACACAGAAGATTAATGAGTGTGTTCACATTCACACAAGTGTGTGTTTGTTTGTTAAAAACGCTGATCAGTCGGATTTATAGCAGTAAAAATCCTATTGCTGCACCAAAATAAATTAAAGTTTTAATTTAACTGAGAACCAAAATGGCTAAACAATTGCTACAGTGTTCTAGGCCATTGCTAGGTGGTTGCTGGGGTGTTGCTATGCAGTTGCTAAGGTGTTCTGGTTTGTTGCTATGGTATTGTGGGTGGTTGCCAGAGTGTTGCTATGCAGTGGTTAAAGTTATCGGTGTGGTTGTCAGGACATTTCTGTTTGGCTGCTTAAGTGTTCTGGGTTGTTGCTATGCAGTTGCTATGGTGTTGTGGGTGGTTGCCAGTAGGGCTGCACGATAAATCGCATGCGATATTTAATGCGCATCTTGTCAGAAAGCCGGTTCTGTAATCAGCGGTAAATCTCCATCATGTGCGTGCTTTCACATTGAGCAGCATTAACTGCACAGAGCCGTTGTTCACTGATGAGCTGCGAAAAAAATCGCGTGAATATGAACGTGGTTTTTCGCAGCTCGTCAGTGAACAACGGCTCTGTGTAGTTAATGCTGCTCAATGTGAAAGCACGCACATGATGGAGATTTACCGCTGATTACAGAACCGGCTTTCTGACAAGATGCGCATTAAATATCGCATGCGATTTATCGTGCAGCCCTAGTTGCCAGGGTGTTGCTATGCTGTTGCTAAGGTATTGTGGGTGGTTGCCAGGGCATTGCTGTTTGGCTGCAAAAGTGTTGTTGCTATGCAGTTGCTACAGTGTCTTAAGCAGTTACCAGGGCATTGCTATGAAGTTGCTAAGGTGTTCTGGGTGGTTGCCAGGGAGTTGTTATGTGGTTGCTAAGGTTTTGTGGCTGGTTGCCAGGGCATTGCTGTTTGGCTTCTAAAGTGTTGTTGCTATGCAGTTGCTAAGGTGTCTTAAGCAATTACTAGGGCATTGCTATGAAGTTGCTACGGAGGTCTGGGTGGATGTCAGGGTGCTGTGGCTGGTTGCCAGGGCATTGCTGTTTGGCTGCAAAAGTGTTGTTGCTATGCAGTTGCTACAGTGTCTTAAGCAGTTACCAGGGCATTGCTATGAAGTTGCTAAGGTGTTCTGGGTGGTTCCCAGGGAGTTGCTATGGTATTCTCAGTGGTTGCTATGCCATTGATAACGTTTTATATACAGTTATTAGGGCATTACTATAAGGTTGCTAAGGTGTTTTGAGTGAAAACTGAAACTGAAAATAAAGTTTATTTAAAAATCAATTCATCATATGTATTTAATAATCAACACTCAAATAAAAACTGAGTTGTACAAACATTTAACTTGCACTTAAAGAAGTTTTATATAAAACTTTTAATTACAAGTTTTTACACCAATTTATTATATAAACATTTAAATGGTGGCTGTCATAAAAACTTATCATAAAAGATTAATTCAAACTTACATAAAAAAATGAAGACAACATGTTAAGTAAAAATATAATGAATATGTAATATAGTGCATATGTTTATCAAAATGCTGTTCTCAAAATAGCTTTCCAACAAAGAAACAAAAATTGTACAGTCACTTTTGTGCTCTGTTGTGATGTTAGTTTGAGGAGGTTTGGTCCAAGTTACCTTAAAGTAAATGGGTGCCATGTCTCCAAGCTCTCTGGGCAGCGGCACACACTCGTACATCATGTGCAACTGTCTCTTCGGATTCATATGAGTCTCCAAAAACACACAGTCCAACTCCTGAGACTCGAACATGCGGACCAAAGCGCGTCTGAACATCTATGAGAGAGAGTGAATGAGAGAGTGGTAGAGAGAGGTAGAGAGAAAGAGAGAGAGTGCGTATTAGTGGTCATTCATTTAATCGATTAGTCGTCTAATCAAATGTTTATATTAATTTAATTACTTAAATACTGGGGGTGGGTCGGAGACCAAGAAGGCAGAAAGCACACCCTGACTGTCTTTTATTTGTGCTTTATTGATGTTCTAGGTGGTTGCTAGGGAGTTGCTAAGGTGTTCTGAGTGGTTGCTAGGGAGTTGCTAAGGTGTTTGGGGTGGTTGCTTATGCATTATTCATGTCTGTAGCACAAATGGAGGAGTATACATACATGAGTGCAAGTGTTTGCAATGTTTGTACCTGTATTTCGCTCCAGATGTCCTCGTCCAGACCCGTGGCCGCTGTGTGATGCTGGATGGGGACGATCAAACAGTGACCTTCGGTCAGAGACACGCTGTTCGGCAGACACAAGTACACCTGCACGAGAGAAAACAAACACGTCATGTGATTAATGAGGACAGCACGCTAAAACCTCGAGCCTGTCCCGCAGCCTGTTCTGTTCCGTGGGTGTTCTAGATGGTTGCTAGGCAGTTGATAAAGTCTTCTAAGCAACTACTAGAGCATTGCTATAAGGTTGCTAAGGTGCTGTGGGTGGTTGCCAGGGCGTTGCTATGTGATTGCTAAGGTGGTCTGGGTTGTTGCTATGCTGTCGCTAATGTGTTCTAAGTGGTTAGTGGGGTAGGGCATTGTTATGAGTTTGCTAAGGTGTTTTGGGTGGTTGCCAGGGTGTTGCTATGTTGTCGCTAAGTTGTTCTAAGTGGTTAGTGTGGTAGGGCATTGTTATGAGATTGCTAAGGTGCTTTGGGTGGTTACTAGGGCATTGCTAAGTGCTTGCTAAGGTGTTCTAGGTTGTTGCTATGCAGTTGCTAAGGTGTTCTAAGTGGTTAGAAGGGCATTGTTATGAGATTGCTAAGGTGTTTTAGGTGGTTACTAAGCCATTGCTATGAGGTTGCTAAGGTGTTCTAGGTTGTTTGTATGCAGTTGCTAAGGTGATGACAAATATATTTTAGTATGCTTTTCTCACAATAACTCATATGCTGTGCATTTCAAAGTCAAATTCTTTATCAGTGTAAGCTGTTATTAAACTCAAATTTGATTCTCTAAAAATTAAAACTTATTCCAAGTTTTTCAGCATCAAGATTGTCTCGTAAGTAGATATGTAACAGTAATATATCGTGCCTTGTTTCCGACGGCGACGATGAGATGTTTGGGCAGTTCAGGGCTGTCGAAACAGTGTCTGCATTTCTCCATCTGTCCGGCTAACCGCCGTGTTTCCTGCACTGCTTTGTTCCTCTGCCGCTCTTCGTCTCGGCCCGATCTCTCTTTCTGGGCGGCGCTGGACACAAACATGTCATCCAGTGTGTAGTTATCGCCATCTGTCCTCCCCATCATCTGCAAAACACAAATCCGTTCATACCACAGTAAAAACAAACATATTACAGAGTTTTGTTTGCATGCAGACTTTTATCGGTTACTTTATCCTGCATGTCTGCGAGTTTTATCTTGATTTAAGAGCTGAAAGCAGTTCAGGACTGAGATATGAGAATCGTTTTATGAGTCTTACAACCCATGGGCCAAAACAGGGGTTCGTGAGTTGATGAAAAGCTAATAATTAGTCATATTGAGTGTAAAACTAAAATAAATAAACGAGGCTGCACGTTTTATTTAGCGTATCGGCTCATAGTAAATGCAGTAAACCCCATCTCTGCTTCTGCATGTGAGTTTAAGGAGCACTGGGACACAACAAGCGGTAGGTTTACTTTATTTACATATTCGCATAATTTACAACATTTTTGTGGACAGACGTTTACAGCATTTCACCAATATCTGGACAAAATAAAAGCTAGAGGATCTGAAATGTTTAAAGCTCAAGGGTCTTGAATTTTTGAAAGTGAAAATTTAAGACAAATATTATTTTTGTAATCTGTAGTTTACATTAAATTATTATTATAATTATTATCAAATACAAATTTTTATACTGCATTTTGAAATTTACAGCAGTAATATATTTCTGTCTTCATTTTTATAATTAGCGCATGTAGCTTATATAATAATAATAATAATACAATAGTCATACAGTATAATAATAAATGTAAAATAATAATAAATAATAGAACAGAATAATAGAAATAATAATACAACATAATAATATAATTATACAAGACAATAATAATAATAATAATATTCTTTATATTCTTTTATTTATATTTATTTTTTATTAATAATAATAAAGTAAATAAATAAATAAATATTATTATTATTCCTATTATTCAACACTGTCACAACTAAGTCCAAGCTACAAAGTCAAACCACTAAAATTTAACAAAACACCTTCTAATAAAAGATTAAATATTCAATGTATTTACCTGCATGCCATGTGACCATTAACCAACATGAAAGAACCGTGAGCATGCAAATATGTCATTAAATAACTAAAATATTAATATTAAATCTCAGGAGGAAGTAAATATTTTAGGATTAAGGGCTTCAGCTGACAATTCCCTACTACTCTTATACTTCACTAATAAGAAAAGTATGTACTAGTAAATGTGTAAAAAAGACCAAGTACTAGTAAAAGTCCAAAATACTTTGGAAAATGGCACACTATTTTGGAAGCTTTACATACTATGATTTGAGGACACCCTAATTATTATGTTGTATACTACACTGGAGTGATAACACGCAGATTAGGAAGAAGCCATGCACTTTTGCGAGTGGAACAGAGGTCAGATGATCTGATTGGGCAGCAGGTGATCATGTGATCTGACTGTTGGTCAGGTGCGGATTCACTGCTAATTGCTGGCAAACCTGCGGGACATTATCTGGAGCAGAATCCACAAAACAGCAGCAGATGCGACCGGGGAGCAGGGACTACGCTAACAGAGCGTGTGTGAGAGTGAGAGAGGTTTAACAGTGTGCTACAACAGGCAGACAAAGAGGCAATGTATCCGTAGCAAAGGGTGATCTGTGTGGGAGGCGTGTCTGTTCACACTGGCATGTTTGATTGACAGATGGAGAGGAGCCGAGGTGAGAGCGAGAGTGTTGGAGAGTCTGGCTGAATTCAGACGGTGCTTTCAATTCTATGTTTATTCTCTGCTTTGATGCTTTCTGACTCCAGCTGAAATGCGAATAAAAAAACCTAGACAGAGCCGAGATTTTAAGGATAGTTTGTGTGCAAGTCTGTCTGGAGATAAACACACGAACAACTAGATTTACATTTTCAGTTTCATTCAAATGCAGGTTTTTAGCACACATCTTGGTTATGGTCGACTGCTTAAGAATCAACACATAACACAACACTGTGTTTGCACTGTAAAAGTGGCTGTTAAGGGTTAAAGAAAAGTTTAAGAAAAAATACGAAGGAAAATTTAGCATGCAAATATAACATCATCATGGCTGGGTTTACATTCTATTTATTTGAATCCAAGGGAGATTTTCAAATTTGAATCATATTTTTAAATTAATCTAAATTTAAATTTAAATGAATCAAATAAATAAACAAGCTAAATAAACAAAAACAAAGAACAACAAATTTGCACAAAAAAAATTGTATTTCATTATGTAAATAAATGTAAGTGATAAAACCAATTTCGCATTTTAAATTAAATAATCAAATAAATAAATTAAATTGAAAAATCAAATGGAGACTTTCACATTTTAATCATATTTTTAAAAGAATTTAAAAACTGTTAATTATTAAAATGAAAATTAATTAAATAAATAATAAAATATTCAAACTAATAAATTAATTAATAATTAATCAAATAACATTAACAATTATTGTCTCATTTGTTAACATTAGTTAATATGAACTAACAATGAAAATACTTGTAAAGCATTTATTAAATTTAGTTAGTGTTACTTTTAACTTTTATTAGTACATTATTAAAATTAAAAGTTGTAATTATTAATATTATTTAATGGAGCTGAACTAACAATAAACATTTGTATTTTTATTAACACATTATAACAGATGAATAAACACCGTAACAAATGTATTAGCTCATTGTTAGTAAATGTTAGTTAATGCATTAAAAAACAGTAACTAATGGAACCTTATTGTAACATGTTACTATAAATAAAGTAAAATGACATAAAACAGAAAAGACCACAACAAAATGCCATAAAAAATTTCATGCACATATCATTATGCAAATAAATGCATAACACTGCATATTAACCATGCAAATATTACAATGACATGATTGCTGTTTGTTATATTTCAGATTGTGTACATTCTATTAATGTGAGTCAATGAGAGATGTACAAACCAAATCTTGATTTTTTTTTTTAAGCATAAAACGTAATAAAACAAAGATGACGATGAAGAAATGGATGCCAAAAAAAGATACCAAGCACATTTCAGTATGTAATGAATTTAAGGAAGAAAACCAGTTGTTAATTCAGTATGCAAATGTTTCAATGACATCATCGCTGTCAGTCAGATTCTGAATAGCGAACATTCTATAAATGTGAGGTCAATGTTCTAAAAATTCTCTTCATAAGTTTGAATGGAGTCGCTGCTCCAGCTGAAATGAATGCAATATGACGCAGCCCAACATGCACTGCAATTACACAAACACACACTCTGCACATTATCACACAAACACACACAATTTTGGCTGCTGCTACTGCTGAAATTGGTGAAATTAATATATTAATAACACTTTTAGATGCTATGCCATGGTAACTTGGCAGAGAGAGAGAGACGGAGAGATGTGGCGCTAAAATGTGCAAATGTTTGTCACTTTTAGATTTCTCATCTCCAAGGAGACTGTGACGTCTTAGTTTATCATAACGGATTTTAGTAGCCCTGCCCGGGTTAAAAATCACATAGGAGCCAGAGAGTAGGACAGACTGAGAGATTGATCCTCACCGCCACCATCTGCTGATGCCAGTCTGTCTTACAACCACTGACAAATATACAACCACAGGCTGTTTGTTCAGAAACTCATTCCTGCCGCATATTTCTATACATCATGCATTTTATTGTATTTTTGTAACACTGGACTTAAAAATCAAAAGTGCTCTAATATCTTCAGGCTAATAATAGTAATTCCATTGCTGCTCATTTGCATAAAGCTAAAAAAGGTCGTTTATTGCATCGCACCAGCATTCAAAATAAATGACATCCAGTCAATGTTAAAGTTTTAGGGATTTTTTTTTCATATCTCTATATAGTTTTGATTTTTTTCAGCTGTAGTTTTAGTTATTTTAATACATGAAAGTTGAACTAAATAAAATAAGTTTTTGTTCGTTTTAAAGGGGTCATATGATGCGATTGAAATTTTTCCTTTCTCTTTAAAGTGTTACAAGCTCTTGGTGCATAAAGAAGATCTGTAAAGTTGCAAAGACTAAAGTCTCAAATCCAAAGAGATATTCTTTATAAAAGTTAAGAGTCAACCACGCCTACCTAAAACGCCTCGTTCTAACACGCCCCACATGTCTACGTCACTATGTGGGAAGATTTGCTTAACGCCGCCCAAATGTGCACGCAAAGAAAGAAGGCGTGGTTTCAGGAAACGCGTTTTTCATGCAGCATATAGCAGTTTTGTGCGTTTTGACCAGTTGATGGGAAAAGAATTCTTAAAATGCATTCCAAATTCTGAATAACTTGTAATATATAATTATTCACGGTATTTAGAAGTGCCCACGATAACAATATCGTGCATATTCGTTACCGTGATATATCGCATTACCGAATACCGGCACAAGTCTAATAATAACAAGTCTAATAATAACGTTACAATTACATAATATTTCTACTTCAATTCGTTTTTTTTAAATAGGCTGTAAGCATTTAAATGGTGGCTGTCATAAAAACTTGATGGATTTATTCAAACATAAATTAAACATTGAAGAACAGTAAAAAATATAATGAATATGTTATATGGTGAATATATTTAGCAAAATGCCCCTCTCTACAGTTTATTTTTCTAGCTTACTAATGAGTTTATGGTCCCCGAATATGTTTTTCTGAGGTAAATGTGACATTACGTGACATTGTTTACAAGCCGTTATTGACGTCTTTGCGCGGCTGAAACACAGATTGAGAGATTACATGAGAGAGGATACGGATTGTAAAGTTGTACTCTTTCTTTTAACTTACCTTCGGATGTTTAGTCGTGTTTATTTTGTGCTGAAGCTGGTATTAATGTGGAGGAGATGATCAGTTCACAGCGATCTGTCACTCCACATTAAACAGCGCCAAAACGGCATTTATTGTTTGAATACTGCAATACAACGGACAGAATTTGACATGTGAGACTGTTTTTATATTAAAAGCACCAAAGCACAATGCTTATTGTGATTAATAGGATGGGAAGTGCCCTTCAACGGTCCATCCATTAGCTGAAAACAGGCTAGACTAATCGATTCTTGGGATTTAAAAATCGATATCGTTCCGTGAAAATGAGAATCGATTTTTATCGATATTTATATCGATATTTTTTACCCAGCCCTAGTAAACCATAACAACCCTGAATCCAGTTGCTTTTTCAATACAAATCTCAATAGAAATTCACAGACTCTTTACTGCTGTTTTATGATTGGCTAAACTCCACACTGTCATCTCTCAATGTTTGGTGTGTAAAGAGTCTGTAAAGGAGACTGACGCTCACCTTGGCGGCCATGCGTGAGTAAAGAGCGTTCTGATCCTCAGCAGAGCTCATCTTCTCCCGTCTGACCATCTCTTGCAGATTCATACCATCATCATCCTCAAAATAGCACACACGCTCCCCGTCCTGGTGCGTCTCGATCTAAAAATCACAGAAGAAGAGAAAACGGGACCTCGTTTGAAGTTGTAGTTTGCCAGGCTACAAGTTAATATTAATTTTAAGTAGATCAACTCCAATCAAAGTACCGTATTTAGTAAAATCACATCAAAATTGTGAGGAGAAAAAGTTTTAGTTAATTAAAAGTACTGAAATAAATGAAATTCAGAAATATTGCCTTGGCAACTAATAGAACTGAACGTTGATCCACTGAAATGACTAACTAAATAAAAATAAAGAAATGCATAAAATAAAGAAATAAATAAAAATAAAAAATGTAATTAAATGAAATTAAAACTGAAATAAAAATTACACCTAAATATTCAGATAACAAAAAATTCGGCACATAAAATGACAAAAAAAAAACTAAAATTAAAATGAAAACGTAAAATATAAAAATAAAAGCTAATTCACACATCAAATTTGTCATGAGAAACAATCAATAGAAACAAAGCTGCAGTTATATCAATATATTATTATTATTTTTAATTTTTTTTTAATATTTTTAATGTATAATTTTATAACATTATAATTATAAAAATTTTTACATAATTTTTAGTTAAAGTTTTAGTAATTTTGCAGTGTGTTTTTGCCATTTTTATGAGTTATTGTTTATTTAAATATATTTATTTCGGCTTTAATTTTTCATTTTAAATTAAATACATTTCAGTTTTTTAATTTTAATTTTTTAATTTATTATTTTATTTTATTTCAAGTAGTTTTATTTTATTTTATTTTAACTAACAATAATGTTTTTGATGGTTTTAGCTTTAGTTAGCTACAACTACCCAGCAAAGCTGTATATGTGAGCGTGCGTCTCACCGCTTTCTGCTTCCTCCTCCCTCCTCTGGGCTCCTGTGTTTGGGACGGGGCTTTGACTGGCCAGGCTCGTCCCCATGGGTCGGTCCTGAACAGAATCACTTCCTTTTCTGAGTCTGTTGGTGCAGAAACCTGTTTGTTCTGGTCTTTTCTTTGAGCTCGGTTGTCTTTGGCTCGACGGGCGGCTTCCATCTGAGCCTTTAGCTTTTCCACCAGCGCCTGTGATTATTCACACACAATCAGAACATACCATCAGTATCTGTGTCTACTACTAGCACACAAAGACCGTCTCGATACCTAGTGAGCTTCCTAATTAGACAGCCTTTTTGGGCATCAATGTCTAGGTCACATGGTTTCCAGAAGAGTTCTGATGAGCTCACCGTGTTTCCCATGAGTTCTGCCTTGACGAGTTTGGCTCCCAGTTTATTCATCTCTTCATCTGTCAGGATCACCTCTTCCTCCTCCTCTTCCTCACTCTCTGAACTAGAAGATTAGCAAACCCAATCAGTTTTAGTACTATTTCACAAAAGGAAGTGTAAAGTAATGTCAAGAACTTGTATAGAACAAATACATTTCCCTGACTTCATGACATTTCCAATTCAGTTACTGGATACAAATTCCTAAAAATCGTTTTAATTCATTGATTCACCAGTGAAGGGTGATGTGTTTTTAAATGATTGTAGGAGGAGAGCTGAATAATTTTCAGATCAGTGCTTCTCAATATTTTTGATACCAAGGCCAACTTTATCCATAACAAAATTTGAAAGCCCCATGACTTTTCCGTTTTTTGTGATTTACTAGATTAGGATTAAAAATAAGGATTTTTAAAAATATTTTTTTTACTCTCAATTTCTAACTGATAAAAAAAAAAAACTATATATATATATACACACACACACACAATTATTTTGCAATAAATGTCAAATATATTATTACAATATTTTACATATTAATATACATCTTGTTAAAATATAATATTTTACATATTTTACATTTAAATATATAAAAAAAAAAAAAAATATATATATATATATATATTAATATATAAATAATATAAAACAATATATATTGTATTCAAATAATATAATAAATAATATAATATATAATTAATATTAATTAATTAGTAATCAACAAACTTTATAGTTTGGCATAACTAGAAAAATAAATATTCATTATAAAAAAATTATTAATTTACATGACTTTCCCAGGTCTAGAAATCACACTTAAAATGAGGTTTCCTCATTTATCCAGGTTTTTCCAACACAATGGGAATCCTGGTTCTTCAAAGAAGAAAAAAACAGCTGTTAAGGGGTTGAATTAAAGCAAGAAATATCCTATTTTTAGTAATTTTGTCTTATTTTAGACAAGTGAAATGTTGAAAAACTGTCTTCTAATGCGGGTGTGAAGATCAGAATGACATTGAAATCTCTTCTAAAATCACATGACTCCTTCTTTCTGACCTGCTCACTCTTGTTGTTGTTTTGCTCTCTTCCAGCAGGGCGGCGCTCTTCTCTGTGTGTTTCTGTGGGGTTGGCATCTCCTTTGAATCCTGCACAGCACTGCTCTTCCTCCAGGCAGCTACAACAACACCATCATCATCATCAACAGGTTTCTTGAATCCTGCACTCTGATTGGACGTAGAGGCTTTTGGCCCCGCCCTCCTGAACCCCGCCCCTCCGCTCATATCCTCATCAGCATCTGAGGGTTTGAAGAACTTGAGGCTGGACAGAGAGGAAGTGCTGTGTCTCTGGGACTGCCGATCCTCGTCTGGATCCGGCCGGGATCTCGGATGGCGTTCATCGCGGCCTCGAGAGCCTCTCTCAAAGTCTCGCTCTCTCTCTCTCTCAGCGTGTGGAGATCTGTCTCTCCGCCTCTCCTCCCGGTCTCCTCTTCTCCATCTCTCCCTCCCTTCTTCTCTGTCGTCTCTCCTCCATCTCTCTCGGTCTCCTCTCCTCTCACTCCTCTCTCCATACGCAGCCTCTTCCGCCTCTCGCAGTCTCTTCTGGAACTCTTCCATGGACTACAGGAGGAAGAGAGAACCATCAAAACACATCATTAAGACCGGTCTCCACTCGAAGCAGAATAAACTCACTACAGTGTGAAATGATACATTGGAAGGCACTGTTTGACTCAAAATACGCAAATAAGTTTTAGGCAGTCGGGTTCCAGAAGTATTAACAGATGGTATATGATTCTGTTAAAGTAATCAGTCAGTGCAATTTAAAAAAATTATTTTAATTTATTGAAAAAAAAAAAGTATTTACAAGCTACACTACCCATGAGTCCTAAAAATAAAAACCACCATTATATATTGCAATAAACGTAAAATATATGAATGTATTTTTACAATATATTTATATACTAACAAATTATATATTGAAATCTATTATAATATATTTTTTTCAATATTATTTCAATATATTCTGTGTGTGTGTGTGTATATATATATATATATATATATATTAAAATATAACATATTTAATAATGCATTAATCAAATATATTATTTTGTAATAATGTAAATACATACGTGCAATTATTTTGCAATAAATCTAAAATATATTAATCTACTAGAATATTATATATTAATATACATCATATTACAATATATTAAAATAGCATGCAAATATATTATTTTGCAATAAAAGTAAAATATATTTGTATTTTAAACATATAATCAATAACTATAAATCAATATTTTATATTGTGCTGTTTTTTTATTTGATTGTCATTCATGGGAGTTTTCTGATTTTCACATACTATTTATTTTTATTTTTTTTACTACAAATCAAAATCTGTAATGCTTGATTCAAAAGTCTGATTAATTTCAGAGCATATCTGTATGAAAAAAAACTGAATGGCAAAACACTCTGCAACAAAACACTGCTACAGAATCTAGAGCTCCATGAAGAAATATTTTATATTTTGGATAAGTTACGATCTTGCAGTCTGAACCGAATGTGACTAGAGAGAAAAACTGGGCAGTGTGAATTAATACGACAATATTGCCTCACATGTCCTTATTGGTTGCACACAGCAATGATTTGCTCAATTTCATGAACAAATGACTATTATAAGCTAGTTCTTTTCATCTGAATCAAATTAGGAAACACTGCTATGCATCTATCACAGAAGGGAAGCAACTTTTCGGTGTGTTGAAGTACAGAGAGATGTGTGTGTGTGTGAGTGTGTGTGCGTGCGTGTGAGTGTGTGCGTGTGTGTGAGTGTGCGTGTGAGTGCGTGTGTGTGTTTGAGTGCGTGTGGGAGTGCGCGAGTGTGTGTGAGTGTGTGTGAGTGTGAGTGTGTGAGCGTGTGAGCGTGTGTGTGCGTGAGAGTGTGTGTGTGAGCGTGTGTGTGCGTGAGAGTGTGTGTTTGTGAGAGTGTGTGTGTGTGTGAAAGTGTGCGTGTGTGTGCGTGTGAGAGTGTGTGTGAGTGTGTGTGGGATCCTCTGATATGACTTCCTGAGCCAGCTCACCCCTCCATCATTCACCACTCCAGCTGAGATGGAGAGAAATCAGTGTAAAACATCTGTGAAAGAAACACTTGCTGCTCCACACATCCAGAGCTCAGAGAAGAGCGAGCGGCTCCGACTGCACCGTCAGCTTAAAGTCAACGCCAAACGCCATTTTAACTCCTCATTCCAATAACATGACTACTGAAACAGTATATTTAAATGACAAAACGAAAATGCATTGAAAGAATCATGAAAAATGAAAAAGGCTTTAAACTGTCAGAGCCAACACAGCTTTATCAGCATGGGTTACGATAGCCCAACTTCTGCATAGTCTGGTGAATATCACACCTTATTTTTGCCGCAAACAGCCTATTTAAAAAATTAAGAGGTTATTTAACCAACATGTAAACGCCAATTTGTTTTTTTTGTGACATTTAGGGGTGAATAACATGAAATTGGACACAACTCTGAGAGAAAAGAGACTGAGAAAATGGCCCACGTTAATTTGATCTGACATTACAGATACCTGAATACTTTCTCAGCATTCTGCACATGAAATATAAACCAGTGGAAGATGAATTGTTGTTTGGTGCAAGCATTCACAACACACATTGCATGGACACTGCAAAAGATGCAAGCTGCGCAAAAATGCAAAAACGCATTTTCCGGTAAAATTTTTCTTTCAATGGTTTAAATTCATTTTAATAGTCAAAAAGTATGTCTAATCAACTGAATTCAAGAGTGTCTAATAATAATAATACAAAATAATCTAAAAATGTCAAAATGACATTGCTGGACTGTGAAAAAAAAACTGATGTAGGATTTACTTTGAAACAATTTTCACTCGGAAATTGCTAGTAAATTTCACAAATACTTACACAGAAATAGTGAGTAACAATTAAACATGAAATTACGAAGTAGAATGTCTGAAAGAGTATTTTCTTGTAAAGCATATTCCAATAATCTTTGTTTGAACATGTTTTACAAAAACTAATATTTTTTTACAGTGTGTGGGATTTTACACAAACTGTACCGCCTACAGCGGCTGAGACAAAAATAACCGAACCGTGTCAGATCATCACACTTGATTTCGGCATTCACCTTTATTACCGGAGGTGTCCTCCGGAGGCAGACCACTTCCTCCATCCTTCCAGTAAGGGTTCAACTCTAACCTGTGAAGACCAGCCTGAGAGAAAGAGAAAGACACACGTGATAAACACAAACACACTCTCTCCTCATACAACAAAAACCCACTACAAAAGTGCTTCTTTTAACACTTGGTTCGACTGCTTGGTCTGAACCCAAGTTTAATAGCTGTTTTCATCAAGGAAAAGATAATAAAAGATTAAATTTTTTATTTTAAATAACGACAGAACAGAGATGCTTTCTCAGCTTTCTGTGCATGAAATATAAACCACTGGACGATGAATTATTGTTAACTGCAAGCATTTGCAATACAGATTGCTGTGCAAAGGATGCAAGCAATGCAAAATGCTCACAGATGCAATTTCTCCAGCGATGCACAGCAATGAGGAATGCGTTATGCTAAAATAGGTCAATTTTTTGTTAATACTAGCAGTTCAGTTTCACAAACCGTTTGCGTGTTTATTTTAATGCTATACCAGCATTCAAGGCTATTTTCAAGATGAAAAACAAGTTTAAACATAAAAAATATGTCCAGTCAGTTAAAACCAAAACTTTTTACAGCTGACAGTTTTTGTTATTGGGAAAAAATATGAAAAATCTTCATATGTGATGGATTTTTAATTGATATTTTTGAAAGCAGCATGCTCATTAGGAATTTTTTTTTTGCAAGAATATTTTAAGATGCAGGGCTGTGTTATTAAACTGGAAAGAACATCTTTTAATTTCAGAGATTAGACTGACGTCTGCATGAACTTTTATGTTGTTTGGAGACACAAACGTCGCTCACCTCTTTGATAGACTGCGCTTTCTGCCTCTCCGCCTCTTTCTCTGCTTCTTTCTGCGCTCGTCTCTCCGCAAGGGAGGTCGTCTTCATCGCCAGGAAGTCAAAGGTCATCCATTCGTCTCTCTAGGAAAGGTCAAACAGACAGAGGCTATAAAAAACATGAGACTATTCTTGATCATAGTCGGCGTTTCGGAAAATCTGGTCACAAATGAGAGGCATCACTGGTAAAAAAAACAAGATGTCATTCTATTTTGACCCGCAAGCAATTTTGTGGCTGCTAAAAATAACTATTCTGGAGGACAGAAATGCATTTGTGTGCATATCGGCCCATTCGTGCAAAGTTGAACCTTACACATCTTCACCATGTCACTGGAGGCACACACAAGGCATCAGCCCTCACTGAAAACAAATGACTTCTGGTCGCTTTGAAAACGGCTGTCAGTGTGAATGCCCTCACGGCTCAGAGAGAGCAGAGTGAGCTCTTCAATTCAACTAATAACAGTATTGAAGTTTCCACAAGTGGCTTTACTGTGTAGGACAACAATCACCCACTCTGACACACACACACACACACACACACACACTCTCTCTCGCTCTCTCATAATCTCCACGTCTTTCTGAAGACTGTGATTACAGAGCACAGCAAAGATAGTAATCGGATCACGTTGAACTGCTGTGTGACGAACCGCCTCCGTTAATTCTGGAGAACACAAGAGAGACTTACATACGCCAGGTACTAATATGTATAAATCTGTTCTTACTGAAAGCAAAATAATATTTCTGAGATTTTGGGAATATTGGGAGAAATTACTGATCTAATAAGTAACAGAGTAGGATCTTACTTGGTTAGTACTGGCTGAGCTAGCAGTGGGTGTGGTCACATGCTCCGCCTTCCAGGCCTTGTCTCCGCCCCCTGACAGAGGCTGGGCCTCCACCCACTCGTCCTCTGAGTCCTAAAAACAAATAAGGATTGACACAGAAAAAATATAATTTTGTACTAAAACAATCACAAGAAATATAATCATGCAACCTGAAATACCTGGAGAAAAGAAAATTGCTTAAAGCACTGTGGAATAAAGGAATGGTTCACCCATTTGCTCAGCAATGGATGTTCTGCAGTGAATGGGTGCCGTCAGAATGAGAGTCCAAACAGCTGATAAAAACATCACAATAATCCACAAGCAATCCACACCACTCCAGTCCATCAGTTAACATCTGTAGAAAACAAAAACTGGAGGAAACGTGATTATGGATTTATTATAGATTATGGTTTGAACGGTTTGAAGTTTAAACATCTTAATGCTGGATTTGTTTCAGCTTTTGTCTTCTCCAGATGTTAACTGATGAACTGGAGTGTTGTGGATTATTGTGATGTTTTTATCAGCTGTTTGGACTCTCATTCTGACGGCACCCATTCACTGCAGAGGATCCATTGCTGAGACACTGATGCAATGCTACATTTCTCCAAATCTGATGAAGAAACAAACTCATCCTAATCTTGGATGACCTGAGGGTGAGCACATTTTCAGCAAGTTTTTATTTTTGGGTGAAATATTCCTTTAACGTGATTGAAAGGGTTAAACGTAGCGTGAAAAAGCCAAAACATCCCAGGACATACTTCAGAGTTGTCACAAGATGCATCTCCCTCGTCTTTTTTCTCTTTCTTGGCTTTCTTCTTCTCTTTCTTGCTCTTCTTTGCTTTCTTCTCTTTTTTCTTTTTCTTGTTTTTTACTGTATTCTCCTGTGTGCAAAAAACAAACACAAAATATCAATCCAGCGTGAAGAGAGATGAGAGACTTAACACGGGGTGCACCACACATTATTAAAGACGACATGAACCTGGTTTCGGAGCATTTTAACTTCTACAGTATGATTTCTGAAGGAACATGTGACACTGAAGACTGGAGTAATGATGCTGAAAATTCAGCTTTGATCACAGAAATAAATTAGACCTTAAAATATATTCAAATAGAAAACAAGTGTTTGAAAAAGTAATAATATTTCACAATATTACTGTTTTTACTGTATTTTTGATCAAATAAATGCAGCCTTGGTGAGCAGAAGAGATCTGAAGTTATATTATGACTCGTCTTCAATAAAAACATTCACAGTTATTTGGGTTTCTTGTCGTCTTTAATGAGGCTCATGCTGCAGCTTGACCTCTGACCTGGCCTATCTGCTGCAGTCGCAGGTCAACGTCCGGAAGCATCCATGTGTCCTCACCCCTGGCCTTCCTCTCGGCCTTCCTCCTCTCCTCGTTCTCATACTTCTCTTTAGCCTACAGAGAGATACAGAAGCAGGAGAAGTGGTGATTTCTGTAAGCAGATAAGCATTATGGCCTGTTTAAATTCTAGTTACATATTTGTCTGCTGCATCCGTCTGCTAGACAGGGTTGTGCGTGTGCGCTGAGGTGATAAAGGTCTGTCAGGGTTAAGGCAGACCTTAAGGCAAATGTGTGCACAGAGAAAACCCAACACAGCTGGCAGAGAGATAACAGACACAGTGTGTATACTGAGATCTGGACACATCAGTTTCCCCTGCTCATTTCTGTCTCTACGTTACATGGTCGCGCTCTCTGTATCGCGCACAGCGGATTTCCGCACCGATGCACACACACAAGTGAGCACACTCCCACTCCCACTAGTAGCCTATTTGTAAATATTAAGCCACAAACGACTATTTAAATATGAATTCTGCGTGTCTATTAGGGGTGTGCGATATATATCGTCTGCGATAATATCCGTTCTTGAATGAATCAAGCGTTTAAATGATTCGGTTCAATCGCAATGACTCACTTATTAAGAGGGATTTGCTGCCACCTACTGGCGGTTTTAATTTCACATTTCGGCTTTTTCTTTCTTTTCTTTTTTTTCCTCCTTGGTCTTTAAATGTGACTGATATTGGCAGAATAATCAAATTTAGCACTCTTAGGGAAATATGATAACGTTTTGTATTTATCATTTAGCCTAAATCTGACTCATTTTGAAATTGGCTCAGAAAAATGTTATGGGGTTTCAAATCGGAATATGACTTTGTTACGAAGCAGGGCATCATTTTCATACGTGTCTTCTGTCGAGGACACCAGGACAAACATCATGTTAATCAGACACAACAGGTCAATAGGGA